TGCCTCTAGTGCATCCCCTGCTGGGAAATGGCCTGCAGGAAACTGGCTTGCAACCCAGGCATGTGCCCTGACTGGGAATTGAACCGCGATCCTCTAGTTCGCAGACCTCCGCTCAATAAACATACTTCTAATGCTGCCTTCCTGCTACATCTGTTTAGGAGTCTCCCATAATGTCCAATCAGAACATTTTTTATGTGAAAGAAAATAACAGAGAAACACTGCCCTGGAACATCACTGGAAGAACACCCATGAGGTACCTTTTACAACACAAACAGCAATGAACATCTGGACAGTCAACCCGTGTGGTCATGTTGCACTACAGTCCTAATCCATTCTGGTTGTGGTAACAAGTCCTGTGGCCTGAGACATTGGTTGAGAAAAGAGATCTATTGCTCACAGATCTGGATGTGAAAAATACAAGAATAGATGCTGACCGTTCAGGTGACTTATAAGAATCCACTTCCTAGATGGCTGTTCCCTCTAATCTCAGAGGACAGATGGGGCAAGGCAGCTTTCTCAGTCCTCTCTCATGAAGGCACTGACTCCATTCATCAGAGCTCCACCCTGGGACCAACTCTTGTCCTGAGGCCAGGCATTGTAACACTATAACATGAGTCTCAATTTTTTTTGGTGTTTTTTTTAATTTTTAATTTTATTTAGTTATTTTTCAAGTACAGTTTTTTGTCTATCTTTCCCATCCCAGCCTCCCCCGCCCCTTGTTCCCCACCTCCCTCCCATTTCCACCCCCCTTAGTTCTCGTCCCTGTGTCCTTCCTATTTGTTCCTCCAAATCCCTCCCCCTTTTACCCCTTAACTTCCCTTCCTTCTCCCCTCTGGTCACTATCCCCTTGTTCTCTATTTCAGTGTCTTTGTTTTTTTTTTTCCTACTTGCTTGTTTGTTTTGCTGTTTAGCTTCCTGTTAAAGGTGAGATCATATGGTATTTGTCTTTCAGCACCTGGCCTATTTCACTCAGCATAATGCTTTCCAGTTCCATCCATGTTGTCGCAAATGGTAGTAGCTCCTTCTTTCTCTCTGCAGCATAGAATTCCATTGTGTATATGTACCACAATTTTTGGATCCATTCATTTACTGATGGGCACCTAGGTTGCTTCCAACTCTTGGCTATTGTAAATTGTGCTGCTATGAACATTGTGGTGCATAGGTTCTTTGATATTGATGTTTTAGGATTCTTAGGATATAATCCCAGCAGTGGAATTGCTGGGTCAAAAGGCAGGTCGATTTTTATTTTTCTGAGAAAATTCCATACTGTTTTCCATAATGGTTGTACCAGTCTGCACTCCCACCAACAGTGAACTAAGGACCCCTTTTCCCCACAACCCCTCCAACATTTGTTGTTTGTTGCTTTGTTTATGATAGCCATCCTGACTGGTGTAAAGTGGTATCTCATTGTGGTTTTAATTTGCATCTCTCTGATAGCTAATGATATTGAGCATCTCTTCATGTGTCTCTGAATGTTCTGTATGTCCTCCTTGGAGAAGTGTTTGCTCAAGTCCTTTTCCCATTTTTTAATTGGGTTGGGTGTCTTCTTAGAGTGGAGTCGTGTAAGTTCTTTGTATATTTTAGAGATTAAACCTTTGTCTGAGGTACAATTGGCAAATATGTTTTCCCATACAGTTGGTTGTCTTGCTAATTTAATACTGTTTTCTTTAGCCATGAAGAAGCTTTTTATTTTGATGAGATCCCATGCGTTTATTCTTTCCTTTACATGCCTTACTCTAGGGGACATATCAGTAAAGAAGTTGCTGCGTGAAATATCTGAGATTTTCTTGCCAATGTTCTCCTCTAGGACTTTAATGGTGTTATGACTTACATTTAAGTCTTTTATCCACCTTGAATTTATTTTGGTGTATGGTGTAAGTCTGTGCTCAAGTTTCATTTTTTTGCATGCAGCTGTCCAGTTCTCCCAACACCATTTGTTGAAGAGGCTATCTTTACTCCATTTTATGTTACTGCCCTCTTTGTCGAATATTAATTGACTGTAGAGAGTTGGGTTGATTTCTGGGCTCTCTGTTCTGTTCCATTGGTCTATGTGCCTGTTTTTATGCCAGTACCAGGCTGTTTTGATTACAGTGGCCTTGTAATACACTTTTATATCAGGTATTGTGATCCCTCCTACTTTGTTCTTCTTTCTCAAAATAGCAGCTGCTATTCGTGGTCATTTATGGTTCCATATAAATTTTCGAAGTGTTTGTTCTATGTCTGTGAAATATCCCATTGGTACTTTAATAGGTATTGCATTGAATCTTATTCAATGAATTTGGGTAAGTGCATATTACCCAAAGCAATAGGTATATTGCTTTGGGTAATATGGACATTTTGATGATGTTAATTCTTCCAATCCATGAACAAGGTACATGTTTCCATTTGTTTGTGTCTTCCTTGATTTCGTTCTTCAAGGCTGTGTAGTTTTCTGCATACAGGTTTTTTACCTCCTTAGTTAGGTTTATTCCCGATATTTTATTTTTCTTTTTGCTATATCAAATGGGATTTTTCTCTTTATTTCTGCTTCTGCTGATTCACTGTTGGTATACAAAAATGCCTTTGATTTCTGGATATTGACTTTGTAACCAGCTGTTTTGCCAAACTCATTAATTAGTTTGAGCAGTTTTGGGGTAGAGTCTATAGGATTTTCCATGTACACTATCATGTCATCTGCAAACAGTGACAGTTTTGCTTCCTCCTTTCCTATTTGGATTCCTTTTATTTCCTTTTCTTGCCTGATCGCTGTGGCTAAAACTTCCAATACTATATTGAATAGAAGTGGTGAAAGTGGGCAACCTTGTCTTGTTCCTGATCTTAGTGGAAAAGCTTTTAGTTTTTCCCATTGAGTATGATATTGGCTGTAGTTCTCTCATAGATGGCCTTTATTATTTTGAGAAATGCTCCCTGTATTCCCACTTTGCTGAGTGTTTTTATCATAAATGGGTGTTGTACCTTATTGAAAGCTTTTTCCGCATCTATTGCTATGATCATGATGTTTTTGTCTTTGCTTTTGTTTATGTGATGTATTACATTTACTGATTTGCGAATATTGAACCATCCTTGCATCCCTGGGATGAATCCTACTTGATCATGGTGTATGATCTTTTTGATATATTGTTGGATGCGATTTGCTAATATTTTGTTGAGGATTTTAGCATCTATGTTCATCAGCGATATTGGCCTGAAGTTTTCTTTCATTGTTGTGTCTCTATCTGGTTTTCGAATTAAGATGATGCTGGCTTCATAAAAAGAATTTGGGAGTTTTCCATCCTTCTGGATTTTTTGAAATAGTCTGTGGAGAATAGGGGTTAGCTCTTCCTTAAATGCTTTATAGAATTCTCCTGTGAAACCATCTCGTCCAGGGCTCTTGTGTGATGGGAGTTTTTTGATTACTGCTTCAATTTCTTTTGCTGTTATTGGTGTATTTAGATTTTCTGCTTCTTTTTCACTGAGTTTTGGAAGATTGTATTTTTCTTGAAATGTGTCCATTTCCCCTAGGTTTTCAAATTTCTTGGCATACAGTTCTTCATAGTAATTTCTTACAATCTCTTCTATTTCTGTGGTATCAGTCTCAAATTTTAATGTGTGAGATTTTGTGTGAAAGAGTCACTCATAGGAACACAAAAGAAATCATATCATGTTCCTGTCCAGTTGAAAGGCAACTCCAGCAGACCTCCCCAAACTGAGGATCCCTGTAGTCCTGTGGAAACTTCTTGTATTTGGAAGTAGAAAAGGAATACAAATCCTTCAGAGCAACCTGAATATCATGTGTAATGAACAGGTTCCAGCCTAAATTTAGAGCTAAGATGCCCATATAATTTATTATCATTTTCTCTTGTTGCTTACATATAAAAATTATTCTCATTTTCTAGGGGCTGAATTTGTTTTCTACCCGTAATGGTTGTTTACATCATGTTCTCACTAATGATTTCTAAGAGTCTGATGGAATAAGAAGTAAGGATTTTTTTTTCATGTTGGATACTGATATGGTAAGATTCATCCCTCTCCCTCCTCTTGTGCACAGGTGAGAAGTATATAAAGAAACAGTGATTCTCTCTAGTTCTATGCAGGTGGGAGACAAGAACTACTCAAACCCACCCTATGAGCAGGACCCTCTTCAACCTTGTTATGGATGAACAATAAGAACCAGAATAAGGCTCCTTATCTGATGTGAAACAGACATTCCTGACTTGCTGAAAAGTCTGTCCTGCTCTCAACAGGCTCCACAATGAAGTGGAGACCTATTTCATAGTCCCTCTTTGTGTGTGACATCATCATCCTGGACATCTGTACCATGTTAGAGTGAAGGTCACTCTACATCTGCATGATGTTAACCGCTATTGGTTGTCATGAACATGGAGTCAGGTCAATATTGTGTCCCCCAGGGCACTTGTCCTCTGGCATTGGGCTTATATGCCTTTGTGCCTACCATTCAGCATTCATGTGTCTGCTGCTGGCTGGCTTTTACTCTGAGCTGTGGGGGAGTGGGTTTCACTTTTGGGTCCAGCAGAACCCCATGTTGGATTTATGTGATGTGGATCATGAAGATATGATGATTCAATGATTCTTTACTAGGATAAAATTAGAAAAATATAGGTATCTTTTTGCCTCCTGTGCATGTGAAATGCTTTACTCCTATTATAGCAAGCCTCTGCAATTCACATGGTGAAGATGTTGGCACAGAATCATGAAGGAACTGAGGTTCCCTGAGAAAAACTGATGTGTGTTGAATTAACCCCACACCTGCCAAGATACCAACACTTAAGGTGCATTTGCAGCTGTTCCTGACCTGAACCCAGTACTCGATGTGACCTGAGCACCCCCTAGTGTCCTGAGTGTCTCCTGAAGCTCAGCTGCCTTGTCTTTTTCAGGGAAGTTAGTGCCTGGGCTCAAAATGACTTTTCCTCACTGTGTCTCTCGCACAGCAATACACGGCCGTGTCCTCGGCTCTCAGGTTGTTCATTTGCAGGTAGAACTCATTCTTGCCATAATCTCTGGAGATGGTGAATCAGCCTTTCACAGAGATGGCATAGTATGTGCTACCACCACCAGTATTAATTGCTGAGACCCACTCCAGCCCCTTTCCAGGAGCCTGGTGGACGCAGCTCATCCAGTAGCTACTGAAGGTGAATCCAGAGGCTGCACAGGAGAGTCTCAGAGACCCACCAGGCTTCACAAAGCCTCCCCCATATTCCACCAGCTGCACTTCACACTGAACACCTGCAAACACAAAGATATCGGGTCAATACACCCTTGCCCATCCACCGTATCTTTCAGACGTATCCACTCACATACTGTGTCTCTCATTCTCTAGAGATTACCTGTTAAAAGAGCAACAATGACAACCCAGCTGAGTCCAAACTTCATGATGAGTGGTCTGTGTTCTGTCCTGACAAGACTTCAGGAACACCTTGGAATCCAGGGATGGGATCCTATTTCAGAGCTGCAGACTTTGGGCTGGGCTGCTTTTCATGAGCAGAAGCACCCTATTTGCATATCCTCCTACTACATAGGAAAATCTGGGGCTGGATGTTGACACGAATGACATAGTCCCAGAGTGTGACATATCAAAGTACACATCTCTGTTACCAGTTACTCCCCACATTTGACCTTGAACTGGTACATGAGATGTGTACATGACCAAGGAGAGTGAATCGTCATGAATGAGAGGTTTTTAAAATAAGAGATGCCTTTCAAAGTCAGCAGCAATGAACACACCAAGGAAATTCAATTCTCATGACCACAGGAAGCATTAAAATTCCAGGAGGTTCCTGTTCTTGTCTTGGGAAGTTCCATCTGTCTTATTTCATCTACAAAGCAATCACACTATGAACTAAGGAGATAGTGTGACTCTAGAGCTTGTGGACACAGTATTGGAGGAGTTGGAGGTTTGTGTGGTTCTTTTGGATATGGAAGTGGGAACCCTTCACAGAAGTGGGTAGTGTGGCCTGGGAAATATTTCTCTAGTGGAGTTTGGTGCTGAAAATACAGTGGGTTCACAGCCTCATTTTTTGTTTTAATTTTATAGACTCTGGGAAAATTAGGTTCACATATTTAAGATGCAGAAGAAAGTCAGTCATAAGTACATGTGCTTATGTGAAGATTTATGTAGAAATTGGGGAGTAAGTATGTTGCAATTTTAGGATTTAGATTATATAAAACCTTGGTGAAAACAACTAATAGAAAATAACAGGTATAAATACAATAATAATTTATATGAAGAGCATTATTTTCTTTATTCATTCATTACAGGAAGAATAAATAATTCAAATAACCCCCCTTTACTGGAGCTGTTGGATCTGACATTATGTTAAACTGTTCATCATTGCAGGTTCTGCCTGATGCTTTCTATTAGGATCTGTGTTTACATGGATGTTCAATGCATCTTTTTTCAGGGAGCAGGGGAGGGAGTATAATGGAGCCCTCTGATTCTTTGACAGTTAATTTCACAAGAACCATCTCCTGTCTCACACAGTCTCTATCCATGTCTGCATGTGAACAATGGAAGTTTTTGACCCTGGCCACACATAGTGGGCATTCTTTGAACTTGAACGTGATGTACTGATAGTATCGATGTGCAAAATAGAAAACAGTACTCCATGCATGGTGATGAATTTCCATGAATGGTGAGTAAAGCTGTTTTGAACTGACATTTTTACACTTACCTCTAGAATGTACAAGAAAAATGTGTGTAGATTGTAGTGCCAGGTGTGTGATAATTGTTTTCTTGACACAGGGAGATGGTACAGGCTAGATATGGGTCTTCCATTGTCAAGGGCATCCCTATGATGCTCCTTGCTATGTGAGGACATCAGTACTAGCTCAGAGACAGGGGCACTCACAGGCCTTTGAGCTCATGTGAGGATAATCCACAGAAACTCGCCCTGAGGGAGGGGTGGGAAAAGGCTGTGATATCACAGACTGTGCCAGATCTTGGACTTTGCTGCCAGAATGTCATCTTTGTGATGCTGGGCCAGAAACAAGAACATAGAAATTCCTCTTTGCTTTCACCTACTTACTTTTCCCCAAGCACAATTCCAATTTTCACAAATAAGCGAATGTCCTAGAACTAGCTTGGTAGCACCTTGTCCAAGTACCCAAAGGTACTTGGGTTACCCAAAGGTAACACTGACCAAGGATTCCCAGATGGCACCTCAAAGAAACACTTCATTCAGGGGACAAGGAGGCTCCAAATGTGCCTCCTGCACAATGACAACAAATAACAGAATCCCTTTCTTTAGCACCTTCCCTGCCTCTTCCCTGTTATGTATCTGGTCTCCTGAAACTTTCCCTGAGTTTCTGATGTGCCCATAGCAGCATCAGTCCTGGCCTCAGATCCTACCTGTGTGTGAGGAAGTCAGGAAGCCCATAAACCCTGTCATGTCCTCTGATAAGCCAAACTGCCCCACCCCTCATGGTCTGTGAAACATTCAGAATGTGGATCATCACACTGTGTCTCTCACACAGTAGTACATGGCCAAGTTCTTGGCTTTGAGACTGCTAAGCCATTTGCAAGTTCTGCTCATGGACATGTCTGCAGGCATGGTGACTATGCCCATGAACTTCTGTGTGAACTTTCTTCCACTATCACTGGGGTGATTCTTCCCATCAAATCAAGCCCCTTTCCTTGGGCCTTTTGAACCCAGTGCACCTAGTTGCCTGTGAATATGTATTGAGATTCCTTGCAGGTGACATTCACTGATGCCCCAGGCTTCCTCATCTCAGCTCCAGACTGCACCAGTATCACCTGGGATGGGTCACCCATGGAGAAAAGACAGGAGTTTTTGGAAATGTCCTTTGACTGTCCTTGGTCCCCTCATCAACCCAGAGACTGGAGAGCCTCTTCCCTACAGCCACTACCACCAGGAAGAGGGCTCTCCTGTTCCAGTCTATGGTGAGGGGTTGTGCCATCAGGACTCCTGGAGGGGAGTGTGTGGCCATGGGTGATGCTCTTAGGAGGGCCAAGACACACTCGTTTTTCATCTTGTCTACCTCTCTCCTCTGAATATTTATTAGGCACAGTGTTTTAGAGCTGAAGTCCTTATCTGAGCTGAGAGAAGTTGGAGGACACAGAGACCATATTGAATGGGACTCTGATGGACCCAGTCCTAATTTATGTGTGAAAATATGTGTCCCCTGCCAGGTCCTTAAGTTCTGTAAAGAAAAATCTTCTATCCCTGAGAAATAAGGCCCCACGGGACATGGTTCTCATTGTTAACCAACCTCTGAGTGGCATAGAAATACCTTGGAGAGTCTAGCCTTGGTACATGAATGTCTTATTACTGAGCCAGTGTGTCTACAAAATTCTCCACCTAGTGAGTTAATAAAATAATCTCTGTGTCCAGCCCCTTACAATTGAGATATAAAAAGCCATAGAAATGTCCTTATTGGCGGTGTTCCTCATGCCTTATACTTTTGTAAATTTTCTAATGGAATAGAGTATTTACAGTCACCTCATGTCTGACTCTACTTTAGATGTTTTTTATTATAAGAGGAGGATGCAGGACCTCAAAGGAAATTCTTCCCTAGCCCCCTCTCTGCCCAATCCTGAGTCTGTCGCCCTGAGCTCCTGGGTCTCCAGTGCCCCCTGCTTCCCAGCCTGGGTCTTGTAGTTGTGGGTCCTGTCTGGGCTCAGAGGGCATGGCTATCTCATTGGCAGTAGTTGAGAATTGAAGACAGTACCCCCACTTCAGGATGCTCCCACAGAAACACAATGTGCTTTGGCATCTCTAGGCACAGAGAACTGATCTTACTAAACCCCAGTGATTCTGCAGGGAACCTACAGACAATGACACTATTAGCCACCATCAAGCCCCTTTCCTGGAGCTGTCTGATGCACTGACACTGCCAACACTTCTGAGTCTGGAACTTCTCGGGCTTTTTGGAGGCCCCTTGTGTCCTCAGATTCCTCCATTTGAAGTTCCCGTCTGAGGACCCTACATGAGGCCCTAACACCACCACATTTCTATTGCTCACTTATTCACACATACACACACAGTGATGATTTTCTTGGTAATGCTCTTGAAGTCTCCTTTCTCCCCTGTTCCTACCATATGGGCTGGGCCTCCACATGAATTCTAGGCCTGAGTGTTACTTGCTTGGTGAGTGAGGTCAACTCTGGAAGGGACACCCTGGCTTTTCTTCCTTTATCAATTCTCCATCATGCTGGTTTTCTTTCCTCCTGACCACCAGCTTTGAGGACCTCAGACCCAAACATTTAACACAGGTACAGAACCACTGCTCAGTGACCCCCAGCTGCACCTTTCAGGCACTGCAGGAACCACCATTTCTTCCCGCATCCGGGTTTCTGGTTCAAACATCATTGACATCCTTGCACTGAAGAAGTCATCAGAAGTGAGGACTCATGCCCTGCTGGTTGTTACTTAGGTTCCCTTTCAAAGCTGGTCTTCTCTGGGGTTAGTCATGGAAGAGCTGTGTGATGTTTCCAACGTTGACTCCATGTCCTCCAGCAGCCTCGCAGACACTGAGTTTTCAATTCCTGGGACAGACACGAAAATCTATTCTGGTTTTCACTTGCTGAGGGATTTGACAGGTGGTTTCTACATAGGAGAATAAGAGAAAGTTCCCATTTCTACAGGACTGGGGACTTGTGCTGGATTTATCAAGCATGTGTCAGTTCTGTGTGCCACTAAGTCACCAGAGTCACTGCATAATTTCCTTCCATGTTGATATTGTTGCTATTATGTATTACTACCCTTGGCACCTATATCAAGCAAACATACTTCTTGGCAAATATAAACAATATTTTTGAACATGTTTTTATGTATTTATTTTTAGAGGGGAAGGGAAGGAGAGAGTGAGAGAAATATCAATGTATGTTTGCCTCTCATGTGTCCCCTGCTGGTAACTGACTTGCAACCCAGGCATGTGCCCTGACTGAGAATCGAACCTCTGGTTTTCAGGCCCATACTCAATCCACTGAGCTACATCAGCCAGGGCCAAATATTCACAATAATTTGACTAGTCAAATACATCTTTTTGTTTCTTTCTTTCAGTGTATGTACATCATGGGTATTACCACAGGAAAGTAGGTTGCAGTTGGATATTATCTGAGATCAATATGGAGGAAAATCATTTGCAAGATCAATCACTGAGGACTTGTACTCTTGGCTTGCCATCATATTAGTCTACTGACACTGCCACAGTGAGCTCTGATTCCACACAGTAGTGGTCATTCCACCCTCAATGATCTCTGAGTCATCACAAAGCCCCCGGATTTTTAATGGCCATCAACAGACTATCAAAGGGCACAGGGAATATCAGGAAACAGGTTTGTAATTTGTAGCATGGCATTAATGGGATCCTCCCTCATGGTCACCGAGTTCCCAGTACTGTTTCAAGTAAACATAGGAGTGAGCTCTCATGGGAACATTGTT